CATCTATAATATAGATACGCTTTATTTAATAAGGAGCTAAAAACACGTGGCACAAAAGTTACTTTAAAATGTTTAAAATATTCAATATTGTAACTGTTTAAGATGATAAATGAGAACACAACAAGCTGACGTCATGCTGAAAGCTAACATAGGACATCCTGAGTATATTTAATTTTAGGACCTGATTTTGGCTTGTAACATTTGGAAGCATGGAGAGGTGGGCAAACTTATTTGATTCTGTACTTCCTGATAAGCTATTTTATCTTTGCAGTCCAGCATAGATTATATTACACTGCTGTCATGAGTTAGGTGCTGGATAATGGATAGTCTCAAAAAGAGTCCATCTCTATATAGGCAATCAAGTAACAGTTTGTAAATTCACTCAGCAGCAATACATCTCTTGAAAAAAAAAAAAAAAAAAAAGAGCATTTCAAGGAAGAGAATGACAAGACTTGATGAGTTCCTAAAGATCGGATTTTATTCTCTTCATGGTCATGCTTACTGCTCCCAGGAAATCCCTTATCTGCCTACAAATGACAAAAAATTTTTTGTCTTCATTAGCAAACCCTGGGTCAAGTTCTTGTTACAGAACTGGCACTGCCACTGGCTTCAACTGGGAGATTTCCTTAATTCTTCCTTTTTTTTTTTTAATCTGTTATGTGTCAGCAGACTGAAGCAAGCACTGATATTTTAAGTTCTTAATATTTTCAGGATTCTCACAAGAGCAAACTTTCTCACTAGCTCAACACATTTGTAATCAGCATTAGCCTTCCACACCTCTGCTTCTATCTCAGTGTAAGTGAGGGAGGTGGTGGTGCTAGTCGCAGGACCTGTGGCATGACCGCTCAGATGTGTTTCTCCCTGTTATCTGTGGTCAGTCTTCTCCCACCAGGAGACAAGGCTAACGGTAGTCGTGTCCAGTAAACCTCACTGAAGGCAACAAAACCATGTAGGCTTTGCTGACCAACAACTGTCCAAAAATTACTTCTGAAGGACTAATTTCTTACTCAGAACTTCTGGACTACATCTGCGTCTTAACCGTGATTGAGGAGAGTATTAACCTACATATAGATATGGATTCCTTTCTTTTAACGGAACAAAACTCTAATTCTCACTTGCCTGCTTTAAACATTTCTTTAAATGTTCTATTTTCTCCGTTATTTAAAGTGCCCACTGGAGCATAAAGTGTTTCAAAGAAGAGGACCAGGCAGACTGGACATTTCTTTGTGTACTTTTTGCAGCTAGTGCGAATGTTGCTTTTGCTGCCAGGAAGCCAGAATTGGCCTCAGGTTCACGTATGTAACATGAGAAGTGCTGAAGTCAGACTCAAGCCTCGAGTGAAGACACATAAAGGAAAGGATATGCACTAATACAGGATGAGGTCTCTAGAATATCTTCATACAGGCACTTTGAGATCCATATACAAATTCATGTATCGCAGTGTAGAAGAGGTTGATGGTTTTTTTCAGTTCATTATACCTTCTTTCACACAGCCCATTCAAATCTGATCATTTCCAAATATATTTGGAATATCTCATTGACAGGAAATTTCGGTTGCTCAAAATTTGCATCTTTTCATGATCTTTCATTTTCTATTCTGAGAAATATGCAGTGTTATTTTTGGAAAACACCAAATGATGAAGGAAAATAAGGTGGGATTCTTTACGGATCTCTATTTCATACTGTTTTCAGAGTGTTGGGTAATTTCTGATCTCTTCATTGAAAAAGTTGAAATGAGCTATGGAAAAATTAGACTGACTAACACATTAGAGAATGGTTCTGTCCAAATCAACTGTTAAGCATCTGCATAGAATACAAAGAAGAGCTGATTAAAAAATAATAATAATAAAATCCAAAGTGTTTTATTTGAAGTATTTAACATCTTAATAGACTCATGGGGGGCATTTAGCCAAGAGGTTTTAAAACACCTATGGTAAGTTACAGCTTAGCTCTTTTAGTTGTAATATCCTACAACCTAGCCCAAGAATCTTCAGTTACAAATTTTGTATTGCTTTGTAAGGAGTATAATAGAGTTTTTGAGAGAATAAGTTATGTTCACTTCCAATAGTATATCTTCTTTTTTCTTCACTACATACTATTCAATATTTTCCTTTGTACACTTCTTAATAGTTGAGCTCTAAGTGAAACTCTGAAAAACAACATTAGGATTCAAACTAAAGTGGAAGAATTTATTTTCAGGGTCACAAGTAGCATAGTGAGATTTCTCTCTTAAACAATGACACTTAGTATCTCTGTAGTTCTATGAATACTTTTGAAGTGTCATATTAAAACCAATCTCTTGGCCTTCAGGCAAAGAGAAGCAATTAGTCTTGGAGTTGTGAATAAATAAAAATCCATTTATATACCCGTCCTTGACATGTACCTTGCAAATCTTAGAAACTTCATCTAGTGGGAAAAGAAATGTTAAATCACAAACACCAATACTAATCATACTGCAGTGTTGCTTCCTAAAACTGTTTAGTGTGTATCAAACTTTCAAGTATTAATTTGTATGTATATATTCATACATATTGAAACACAACAACAGAAAGGCATTCACACACATGAGTGAGAAGAAAGAAATGAGCGAGTGCGTATAGAGCTATAATGCACACCTTTATTATCTATCCTCAGCACTAATCCAGGTGAGAAAACTCAAAGCTCTTGAGCACATTGTTCTGTCTCGCTCCTGCACAAACAGTCCCTCACAAGCATCCTACCATGCGCACGCCTCTCTCATCCCAAATGCCGTTCAGTCTTTGGTCTGCAAACAAACAAACAAAGCAGATCTTTATTAGCCACGCATGCCAGTGAAGTGGTACCTGTGGCAGTCGTGTTGGAATGAGTCAGAAAGCAATTTCTACTTTTTGTTCAGTGCAGTATTTTTAGGTCTTCTCTTTCCTCATTACTGCACCTCAGTGCAGAAGCATCCTATTTCTACAATGCTCTACTTGCCGTTCAAGGTTCTCGCGTTTGTTTTTCGTTTAGCAGTCAGTAGATCACAGAGGAAGTAAAAATTACATTGTCAGGTGATCCCTGGCAGTTTGTACATCCCTACAGAAACACGAGGTAGCTGGGAGTGGGAGACAGGTCAGGAAGCCTCGGCAGATCTCGTCCTCCTCGTGCTCCACTTGTTGAGCGGTGAGAGATGGGATTGCTGGGGATGCCGCCCGGCCCGACGACAGGTGGGACGGCCGCGCGGGGCCGCACAGTGGCCGCACGTCGGGACAGAGCTGGCCTCGGGGCCGCGCATTGCTCAGAGGTGGGACTCAGCGAAGACCGCACCTGGGACGGTGGGATGGTCAAGGAAAACAAATTTAAGTCTATTCTGGATGCAAATCTCTCCGCTGACCTAGTTCTCATTCTCCTTTTCATTTCAGAAGCTCAGCTAAAAATCCATAAATTAAGGAAATTAACTGATGGAGCCTGCGGCATCTTTGTAAGCTATTTAAATCTTTAAATTTACAACATCTTCTGCATATATCAAGTAATTGAACTAACTGCAGGGATGTAACTTTAATGAGAAAATTTCCCTCTTCTCCTGTAGTTTGTACTCGAGAAGAAAAAAAAAAAAAGAGAGAAGGAAAAAAAAAAAAAAAAGCTACCCTTAGGAGAAAAGTTTCTGTTTATTCCTGCCACGGAAGATAACTTTAAAAAAAAAAAAAAAAAACGAATTGCAGGGGTCCTGCCTGTTTTTCTCCGTTCCCTGCAGGTCGAGGCGGGCGGGCACCGGCGGGGCCGCCCCGAGCCCCGCGGCGCGGAGGGAAGAGCGGGCGGGCGCGGAGAGGAGCGCGGCCCGCCGCCGGGCTGACCTTTCGGGCGGCCGCGGCGCGTTGCGTAACTCCCTGCGCGGCCGCGCTCGGCGGCTAGTAGGCGCTGCAGCCCGCCCGGCCGCGGCCACCCGGACGCGCGGCGCCTCTCCGCGGGCGCGCAGCTGCCGGAGCCCCTCCTCTGCGGCGGCCGAGGGCCGGACGCTGCGGGGCGGCACTCCCCCCGAACTTCTCCCGCAGGGGCCGTTCTCCGCGGGGCGCGCAATCCCGCGGGGACTCGGGGAAACGCGGAGCCCCAGGCGGAGGCGCGTCTTGGGCGGAAAGTTGAGGGGCGGGATTCGCGTTGTTTTAATTTTTATTATCGTTTCTTTTCGCTTTTTCTTTTTTTCTTTTTTTTTTTTTTTTTTTTTTGGTGCGGAGGGGGGTTCCCGCCCCCTTCCCTTCGGGGCGTGCTGCGCGCCCGCGGAGCCGCCCGCGGAGCCCCGCGCCATCGCGCCGCACGCTCTAATTGAAATGGCGCTTTTGGCCGGGGGCGGGCTGCCAGGGCGCTCCGCAATAGCACAATGCATGTCGATAGACGTCATTTGGTTTTAATGGCCTACAGGAAATTTGGCGTTTACAATGCGAGACATTAGCAAGGGTGAAAGGGAGGGGGAAGCGGGCGGGCGGGCTGGAAATAATTGCGGCCCCCCCGCCGCCGAGACCCCCCGTCTGCACCCCGCCGGCGCTGGGGATGCGCCCGGGGGGGGCCGCGGCGATTTTTTTTATTATTTATTTTTGAACTTGATGTAGTTTATCAACAAGTGCGGAGTGGGTGCTACCCTAATTGTAACGGAGGAGTCGGGAGATGTGAGAAACGTGCCCTGCGTTACTTATTTGGGAGCTGAAAATTTATGCCTAGTTGAAAACGCCTGGGGAAATATTACATCAGACCAAATGACAATGATTAAAATCAGCTTTTTCCCCCCCTTCCCCCTTTTCCTCCTTCTTTTCAGTAAGCCCGCGGAAGGACGTGACAGCGGCCCGAGCCTCCCCGGCACCGACCCGTTACCGCCGGCGGGGCCGGGCCGGGCCGCGCAGCTCCGCGGGCGGCGTAGGGCTCCGCGGGCTGCGGTGCGGCGCCTCCCGGCCCCATCCATTTCCAGGGATCGTGTTTTGTTTTACGGGGGGTGGGGGTGTGAAATAAATCTGGGGACCTTCACTAAAAGCAGGGGAAAATATCCAATTTTCATCGCAAAATTAGCTAGGGCGAGAGCAAAGGGCTGAGCTAATTGTAGCCTAATCCTCTGCCCTGCAGGCGTTTGCAAAGCCTTGAGCAAGAATTCGCTTTTTTTCCTCCTCTTCTCCCTTCCCTCTGTTATTTAGAGACGGGATTATTGCCTTTCTTCTCATAACAGCCTCGGCAGTTTCATTTAAAGGCTTTTTTCCCCCTCACACACACACACATCCGCGCACACACAACATAAATAGAAAGAAGCGGCAAAAACAGAGAGGGGGAGAGCGAGCGAGCGAGGAGAGAGAAGCCTTAAAAATAATAATAATCACAGCAGGATCTGAGGAGCAAAGATAGTAATAAAGGCAAAAAAACTGAGCCCATCCACACACAAACCCAGCAGAGCCCAAAGCCGAGGGGGGCTCGCGGCTCATCCTGTGCTCAAGGTAAGGAACGCGGCAGCGGCTGCACCCGCGGCTGCCCGGGCCGGGCCGGAGCGTGCCGTGCCGTGCCGTGCTGAGCCGTGCATTGCATTGCGCTGCACCGCGCGGCACGCTCGCGCCTTCTCTCGCTCCTTTTTTTTTTCTGTCTTTTTTTTTTTTTTTTTTTTTTTTGGAAAGTACCTCTTCTTCAAACTAACTCGGCTCCCGGCTCCGGAGGAGAAGCGGCGGAGGAGTGTTTTTTTTTAAAGCTACAGCTCCCGCTTTGCTAGCGCCGTGTGTGTGCCTGTGCGTGTGTGTGCGTGCGTGTGTGTATGTTTTGTTTTGCTCCGCTCCAGCATGGGCAGCGCCGGCGGAGCCCCGCGGCCCGGGGCGCCCGCGCTGCCGCCCCGGCCCCGGCTCTGAAGACGGCCCGGCCCCGGCCCCGGCGCGGCGGAGGCAGCGCAGCCCGCTCCGCGCTCTCGCAGGGTACACGCGGAGCCGCGGGGGTCGGGCGGGCGGCGCGGGGTGCGCGGCCGGGGCGCGGGGGTGGCGGCGGGGCGGCTCGGCACAAAGGGAAGGCGGGCGACAATGGGAGCGCCGCGTATGGAAAGCACGGGCGGGCCGTGAATGAAACTCTGGCGCCAGTGAGAGTGGAAGGCTCGGGCTGGGGCAGACTTCAAACCACTCTAGGCTATAGTTTGCATTTCTGCTCCTGCATGCGATGTGGCACACTTCTGCAAAATTCATACATTAGCCTGGCTAACGCTCACCTCCATTGGCTGCACCGAAATTGGATGCGATCGGGGTTACGGGGTTCTTTTGCCCTCGCGTTCATCTAAGACATCTCCTTTCTTGTTATGAGGGAATAAGTAAAGGACGCCATGTTGTGCTTTTTTTTTTTTTGGCTGATCGTTACCTTTGGGCACGCCGCGCGTTTCAGAGCAAAAGGCAGAAGTTGGGAGGGCGGCTGCGGCGCTCCGCGGTGGTTCCCCTGACCAGCAGCGGGGAGAGGCGTGGGGTGACGTGAAGCCGCACTGATAGAGCGGCGGCTGCCACAGCGGGCGGGGGTGGGGAGGGAGGGAGAAAGCTTCTGCTTTTTTTTTTTTTTTTTTTTTTTGGTTTTTTTTTTTTTTTTTTTTTTTTTTTGCTTTTTTTGTGTGTGTGAGGAGAGCTCCGCAGGGAGCCCCCACTCCCCCTGCAAAAGTTTTGGGCACGATCCACTCTGTCACTCGGGACAGCGGTGCGTGAGGCAGCGCGGAGGTGTGTGCAAATGTTGACGGACTTTAAATTTTGGAGCCATCCAGTGTGAGGTTTCGAGTAACCCCATCCCTTCTTTGTCTCTAGGCTCGCTTCTCAGCGTAACCAATTGTCTCCGAGTGGCTCTGGAGGCAGACCCGAGCGGTCGCCGTGCGTGTTTATGGAGACAAAGGTAATGCCCGGCCTGGGGCTCTGCCCCCGGCTCCGCGGGGCCGCGGGGCTGGGGCCGCTCCCGCAGCTGCTCGGCCCGGAGCGCTGCGGCGGGGCCGCTCCGGCGGTGGGGCCGGGCCGCGGGCGGGCGCCGGCCTCCCCAGAGCCGGGCGGAGCGGAGCGGCCGCAGCGCCCG